TGCGTTCTAACGTTTTGCAACGCTTTTGTCACATGTGTATCGCACAAGGAGATGTTACAAGGCTTGTTTGACGACATTCTCGATCCCATGGCGTGGCAACAATGGAGACAATTACACGATGTCTGGAATGTCCTACACACTAATACCACGCTTACAGCGACCATAACACTCTTTGACCAAATTTTCCGTCGTAGCAGCAGCGCAGTAAAAACGCCTTTCCAGTGTGCGATGCCTTACGGGGGCATTGGTATTCCAAAACCAATGATTTCTTTCAAGGTCCATGTAAGGGATATCTTAATTATCACTCGCTTATTCAATTTCCGACATCGTAAAACAGTTGCCAACCAGATCATTAACATTGACCCAAGGTATTCAAACTGCGGTAACCTTAAGAATAGTTCCGCTACCTAAAGTGTTACTTTGATAGAGATATAATTGACTCCATTAGGTCGTTATAATATATTGATATTTTTCATCTAAAATTAAAAATTAATGTAATTCACACATGAAAGGTCAATCGTAGAAATTAAAAAATGTATATTAATGTAAAAAAATTAGGCATCAGTTAAGGAAAACATTTTAAATAGTGTAAATATAATGTCAAGTACATCGCGGTCCAATGAAACTATTGTATGAATATAAGACATTAAAATTTGTAGAAAAACGTTGTTTATTCTTCAACATATATATGATCATGTGAACATTAGACAATCGTAGAAAACATATTACAAATATTATGATCGTGTGAACATTCAACAAGTCAGTATGTTACAAAATATATGGTCATAATTGATATTGAACATTTGCAGAACGTTGCTGTATAATAAATATATGAATATATAAGTCAATACGTTTGTGGAACGCCCTTGACAGCAGACGTTTGATCATGTAAAATTAAAACAAACTTTTGTATAACGTTGTTTTATTTGAATGTAGACATTACACTGTAGATTCAAACCAGGCTTTTGCATGACATTGTTGTATGATCGTCGAGACATAGAATTGTAAATATGCGCGCACGTTTTTATGTAGGAATATGTGTACTGCATTCAGACATAGATTTAAATTCGTTTAAATTCATTTTATACGAAATTATATGAAGCCTGATCTTGTAGACAATATCAAGATATCTCTAAGGATATAAGTATTTATTTAGATTAGATATTACAGAGCAAAAACCCTATCTTTAAGCTGGATCTATTAAATATTTAAAAGTTAAAATGAAACTTTATACGTATTATAATAATCGCATTACCTGTACGATTCGATGTTATAAACGATATTCTCAATAGGGTTTCCATTGGTTAAAGGGATAATAAAGAAGTTTTCTAACCTTTATGTGTCTTGGAAGCGCTGATAGCATCGATTTGCATCATTGAATTTTTAAGACAAACGTCAGTGGTCGTTGTTTGTGGTTTCTTTAAATATTTTGCGATAGCGAAGTCTTACTTTTATTGTGGGGACAAGAACCACAGAATAATAAACCAAGTACTAACGATTCGAACCGCAAAACGAAACCCGAAATTCATAACAACATATTGACAAAATATTGATAGCAGCTAATGAACTCTTCAGACTCAAAACTGGAATGGTGCAAATTGACCCTCAGTATTACCAGTACACATGAAAACTCTTTACAATCCCTTTAATAAACTTTTATATATTGAGGTATCACAGGTATGCTAAAAGCTGTTAATAATTGATGTAAGACGCTGGTAGTTAATATCAGATCAACCAGAAATAATTCACCAGGGGAATTGTTTCACTCACGTTTATACAGCAGCTGCAATCCACAGCAGTTGTACAGGTTTACAACTTACTGGTTTGGGTTCAACTCAGCTTCATTCAGTATTTACCTACCAGATCTTCGGGATGACTTATAGGGTGGTATTCATTCTCATGCCATTATAAGGGCATCTTCGCAATGTCAAGCTATTTTGACTGCAATAGCCACCTTTGTTGTATCACGAAAGTTTGTTATTTCAGCAATTTGATTGGATTGCAAGATGGCGAATACGGGCATTCAGAGCCCTCGACAGAAATGAAATGAAAACAATTTGGAAGCGCATGTCATCACGCCCTACCACTTTAAGTTCCCATAGTTCGAAAACGACTAAGTTATTGCACTTAAAATAACATATGGTACGGGGGTGATGTCACAAAGGTCATAGCTAATGTTGCTTGCACTTCTAAAATTTGTGTAATGCTACTAACATTGTTAGTGGCGAGTATCGTGACTGATTGCTATCAATAACAATATTGAGTTTTAAGTACTATGTTTTATGACTTTGTTAAAGTTGATATTTCTCAAACCATATTCCTGGTAGACATGATAATATGTATTAAGTTGACAACCACAATTGTAGAGTGATATTGCGTGATCATCTCTAATCACAACTGTGTTACATGACTTGCAAAGGCGGAATATCCGGATATTGCCCCACTATTGTGCAATAAACAACATAAGATTAAATGTAATAGAAACTAAGACTTGTATGACGTCTTCCCCTCCGCTCCTTCTCTCGCGTTAATTTGTGAGTTCGTGAAGGCGAACAGTTCGTCTGGAACACTTGGTATCACTCTGATATTGCATCGGTTCAATCCAGGCAAAGACTGAGATAGTACCTTTTTTTTTAACCCGGTTTCAAATATAGCGTTTAGTCTTTGGGGTGGGGCAATTAAACACGTTAAAGATCACTCGACAGGTAGAAATCTAAAAAAAGAGCAGACTAATGCCGCTGTCCTGCCAAAATGTCCCTCATTGTACACTGCATGAGCCTACATGGTGCATACAAGTAGGACGTAATACTCCATTTCATTTCTGATAATGCATTGTCATATGCCCCTCTTCTGTCAATAAGGTACAAAAAGAGGAAGTAAAACTCCATTCATCTTTTAGATTAATGATGAACAATGCTTGTGTAAAACGCCATGTCGTGTTTAAGATTAATGATGAACAATGCTTGTGTAAAACGCCATGTCGTGTTTAAGATTAATGATGAACAATGCTTGTGTAAAACGCCATGTCGTGTTTAAGATTAATGATGAACAATGTTTGTGTCGTTTTTAATGTAAGAAAGATCTTTATGAACTTTGTAGACAACTGTTAATTGACTTCTAACACTCTCTAACACTTGTTTCAACTTTTTGTCCTCCCCTTAATGAATTAATTTGTCAGATAACGTGTATATTTATTTTTACAGTGTTTATTACAGAAATATTCATTATCAGTAGATTGAAATAATATTTAAGCGGCACAGTGCCAAAAATTCTACACATCACTGCCTCTAGGCCATATCAATATCCATTTACCAGTTTACTGTTAAAGATATTAACATGCCTACAAATTCTTTGTTCTTGTTCAAAATATTGACATTATGCAATCCAGGGTTATCGTGTTCACATCAATTGTTGATAAAATCGATGTTACTCAGTACACACTTTGTCAACAAAATACGATGCAACATGACATTCAAGTGCATCATCTAATTCGTAGACCAATCATTTCAAGTTCACTTGATGTTGGCAGTATTATTTTCTCTAAAACAGTGATCAAGTGCAATAATAATTCCATCCATAATATCAACTTACTGTTAAACCCTGATTTAGATTTTGCTGATGTTTTTTGCCAATTAATCCAAATTGTGCTGCTCTGAAATCAGATTTCACAGTATATATATTTTATTTTCATGTATAAAGGAAACTGATATGTGACATAACAAACGAGTCATTTATTCAAAATGATATAATACTGTACATGTATTCATGACTTTGACAAGATAATATATATTTAAACTTGAACACCTTATATCAGTATGCGTCTGTGCTTGTGGAAGCAGTTTCGCTCTCGGGGAGTCAACATGGAGTTATGTATTTGTTTGATTTTAACTCCACTCTTTGCATTTTTACTTGATAACGTTACCTGTACGTATTTCAAAACGTAGGTAATAAAGTCAGAAGTAATATATCTATTTATCTTTGCGTTTAATACGACGAACTCTTTGTATTCTGCTGATGAATTCGTAACTATATCGATTTAGGAAATGCTCTCAGAGACATCAAAAGATTGAAATGATCATGGCTAAGTCAATCTAAGATATGTGCCAATCGTATGGTGTAATAATCTGTCAGATTCCACTAAATTCCCAGGATAAGAACATCTCAAGCTGATGTCTGTGACTACTTTATTTTATCCACAAATGTTAAGGCTAGCGATTAACTCAATCCGATCGGCGGCGACTGGAATAACATTTCTTTAAGTAAAACTTTTCTACTAATGGATAGTCTCTTAAGTAAAAGAGTAAACCCTCACCTTTAAGACAATATAAATACCTATTAGCTCTTTTATTTTGCACAGACTGGACATGGAATGCCAAGAATGCCATATACCAGTATTATGTACTTTCGACTCATGATAACCTGGGGGATATTCTATAGCCTTACATATCAACTGCTCTCTGATATAAACTCAAATCAGATAGCTAGAGAAATAAATAATATAATAAGATATGGCTACTCCAGTTGATAGAAAGGAATCTGAGAAATGCTCCACCTTTTTCTGATATCTGGGTGTTAAAAAAGACTTTTATCGAGGGTATTTGATACCATGTTGATTTATATAGCACTATCATTGCTACCAGACATATTCCACAAGATTTTATATTTATATATCACATTTTACACATTGATCACATACATTTTCACATTTTTAACATATATAACAAAAAATAAACTTCATAACCTTATAACACATATGTGTCTATGAAAAATGGGAAATTATCACTTCATAATCATCACAGAGGTAGCAAAGAGCTGACTTGTAGAATATGTTTAAGTATGTGTCATAGTCTCTTTATCCAATAAACACAACAGACTCATATATATAGTCAATTTCTGCAAAATTGTATGAAAGTATCAATATACAAGGGCTTTATGAGAATCCATGATATGTATGTCTGTAATAAATCTTTGGTAAAACAGCCATTAAAAGTCATGAGGAACTACGAAGACCATTCCTTCACGGCATTCATATATGTTATTCCATTATCACGCATCTTATCGGCTCCGTTCATTGGCATAATATTCCAATACATCACAGCTTCTTTAATTCTGAAAGTTCTTCTACGCGAGTAACAATGCATCCATCGTCCTAATACTTTTCTATACTCTTTGTTTAACAAGCCGTACAAGAATGGATTGATTGCCGAGTTGATGACTAAAATCCAGAATGTAACGTTGGTAATAATCTCTGGAAGGCACTGGCCACATTTAGAGTTTATTACTTGTACAACCATATGAGGTGTCCAACACACTGTAAACACTATCACCATCATTCCTAAGGAACAGGCAGCCTTTTTGTCCTGTTTAACCATCATCTCACGAACTAAATCGTCACTTTGTTTTCTAGTCCCACTAACTCCCGTGATATTACTCATTGAATTTTTTCGGCTGATCTGTTTTCTGACATTGTGGAATTGATTTCCTGTCATTGAAATATCAAATGAAACTCTTCTATGCATTTGTCTTGAATACTGAATAAACTGTTGTTTTGGACTCATGCAGTAAGCAAGAGAATGCCGTCGTTGTGAGGAATTTAGTAAAGATTGTCTTCTACCAATTGGCAGTAATTGGGGACATAAATCGGAACCTTCGTCAGACCCGTTATTATTTCCTTCGGATTCGGAGGAAGATTTCCTAAATCCGAAAAACGAAGTGTCAGTAACACTCAGAGATCGGCGAATTTTGATACTTTTTCGTCGACTGATTCTGAAATATATACTGCAATTCAAAATCCATAAAGCAACCAAAGGACACAGGTATTCCACTACTGAGGTAACGAGTAAATACACAAAGTGTGTTTCGTGAGGCGAGTTACATCTTTTATTATAGACTTTAGAGGAATTATGTTGTTGAAAGTCCGTCATTATCACAATGGGTGGAATGTTGAGCACAAAACTTAAAAACCAAGAAAATGTTACAGCACTAATTGCAAGTCGACGACTCTGTCGAACTCGGTATGAAAATGGATAATTTATAGACCACCATCTGTCGATACTAATTAATAAAATACTTAATAGTGAAACGTATAATAATGAATGTCTAGCAATGAGATAAATATGACAGGCGACACCAATAGGCGACCATGGATAGTAAACACTTTCCATAATAGACAACGGCATCGTACATCCGATTAAAAAATCCGCCATGGCCAAACTGGCTATGTATATGTTCCGACATCTCCTGAATGATTTTGTGGTCACAAACATAACTAAAATTGCACCATTTGCCACTAAAGTAACACAAGTGACCAGCACTAAAGGTATGGTCTGTACCCATGACACCACAAACGAAGTGTTTTGTAAAGAATCACCATAATTTGGTAACGTATCTGATGTGTTCTCCATATCCAGCCGTAGAAAACAGCCTAGTTGATGTCTAGGACTTTTATTCCAAGATGCAATCATCGGAATATCCACAGCTCAAGACTACATGTTCATTATCAGAAAGTTTTGTCCTCGTCTGTAATTGCTGATATCTTTCGTGTGTATTCATATCGTTTAAACCTCAGCCCTCTCATACTAACACATCTTCGATTTTTATATTACCTTTAGTATGGAAGCAGCGCGCACCTATTATGACGAGCACGCGATGCCGGCAGTATCTGGTAGAAGATAGAAAGTGATAGATTTATATTTCTAATACTTTGATCTGCTCATATTAATCTTAATCATGTTCTTTATCTTTTTTCAATTTGAACACCAGTACACCACCTTGTCACCAGTAGACATGATAAAAAATTTTAATAACTTTCTCTTGCCATTATCAGGAACCATGAAAAACTAAGAAAAATTTGAGACAGATTACACGTCTATATACTTGTAATGAACGTAAAGAATTCAAAACTAATCACAAGAATTTCATTTTGTAAATAAGATATACATAAGATAAATATTCACATATTCTAGGGAGGGAGGGGTGGCTCCGCTCTCGCTTACCTAATGGTCCTAGTTTAAGTCGCATTGATATCTTCGGATTTTTAAAAAAAATTATGTCTCTGTGGCTCACAAGCTCATTTTGGCGAAATTTCGCAAGGACAATAAACGAAAAAACTGTTGGTCAAAAAAGCATGAAAAGGAAACTGATTCGACATCTTATTAGCTCATAAGCTAATGGTTGGACTAGTTACATAAAATGTATTTGGTAGTCGGCAAACGTGAAGCAAACGCGAGAAAAAGTCCCTTATAATTACAACTTCTACATCAGTCGCTCTCAACCTGCGACATATGCGAGCGAATTTTGCCATTTTATGCTCTCAATGGGTGTCTCTAATAGGATCTATGGGCTTGGTGCACTTCAATTTTAGTGCGTTTATGGAGATGTTACGACACTTGTCATTCTCGATTCCATTCCGTGGTAATCTCAACGGCGATTATTGCCGCCAACCGTAGGATATCTGTTTCTTCCTTCACGCTTATGGCAACGTCGCCGCAGTAGCTTAGTAAGGACGCCTGTCCGATGTGACGGGGCTATAACAAATATTATTTTTGAACACCTGCTACCATTTTACAATTTTCCAGTGCATCAAGTGTATAAAGATATCCTTTTCCTTCCATTTTATAAGCTTAGAAATTTTGAAACATTCTTTTCTTATCTTTGAAATTCAAAATTACGTCCGTTTTCCTTTAAATCCTTTCCGTATCATTGAAATTCAAAATTATGTACGTTTTCCTTAAAGTCCTTTCCGTATTATTGAAATTCAAAATTACGTCCGTTTTCCTTAAAGTCCTTTCCGTATTATTGAAATTCAAAATTACTTCCGTTTTCCTTAAAGTCCTTTCCGTATTATTGAAATTCAAAATTACGTCCGTTTTCCTTAAAGTCCTATCACTGAAATATAACAATAATTACAGGAAATTTCATTTTATCATTATTTTTAACGTAGAGAAAATAACCAGGATATCGTTTCTTTTTAGATTTCTTCTTCATATAACTATTTACTTCATAAACAAATAACTTTAATTTCAGATAGAACATACACCATTTATCGTTGGCACCCGTTGCAACTATTTTAAAATTTCAAGGCAATTCAAATAAAATGGTTTCAATTAAAGTAGATGTACGGCAATGAAGTTAATTTACCAAAATAGAAATTTCAAAAAGTCACAGAAAAAACATTTGATTGAATTAGAAACAGTACATGTCTTACAATGAGATAAGATGTGGGGTTTATCATTCTAGAAGTCTGGAGTTTCTTTCTTTTATTTGATGGAGAGCTTTTTTAAAAGAAGTGAGGTGCTATCGCACGTTGACCAAGCTTTTCTGGTCGTAAAGTCATACTTTGTCATTTTATGACGAATATCCGGTTACTTCTGGGTGCAGTTAATATGTCATGCATGCGAGAAGCTCGTGGATTCTGGGTATAAATGTATATACAGCTCCTGTTGGGCCGAACAAAAGGAATTTTGTGACTTTCTGAGAGCCCTTGGTTTTATATCGGGAATGAGGGCGCTTATACCTTCCATTTATTTCAGTAGAAGTACTTCTGATTTACCTTAAATTCTTTGACAACGAAGACATGTCGTGTGGTTCACAACGTTCGTCAAAGTATTTTAATTAAGTTAATTTTATATATGTCCATTTTGTACGAAATTACCGCAATAATTTAATGTGGTCTTTGCCACCCATTAAGGCGGTGTGGTATGGCGGTTACTAAGTTGATGACCGTCTTACATTTTTCAAAAACGTAACACACTAACCTACTAAGCGAAATTTAATTATATTGATAATGGAATTATATTTAAGTAGACATCAGGCCCTGGTGGGTCAGTTTGGAATCAATTGTTTTATTAAATTAAATTGAGTTGTACTTTTTCTCAAATTTCTGTACTTATGAGAAAGAGAGATGCAAAGACTGATTGAAATGTATCAATAAGGTGGGTTAAATGTCGACATAACAGTAAGATGGAAAAATTGTCGACATTAATAAAAGAAAACATCAAGATATGTGTAATGTCGATAAGTAAATAGAAGAAATGAATCAATAAGATATGTGTAATGTCGACATGTAAATAGGAGCAATGTATCAATGAGATGTGTGTAATGTCGACATGTAAATAGGAGTAATGAATCAATGAGATGTGTGTAATGTCGACATGTAAATAGAAGAAATATATCAATGAGATGTGTGTAAAATGAATCAATGAGATGTGTGTAATGTCGACAAGTAAATAGAAGAAATATATCAATGAGATGTGTGTAATGTCGACAAGTAAATAGAAGAAATGAATCAATGAGATGTGTGTAATGTCGACATGTAAATAGGAGAAATGTATCAATGAGATGTGTGTAATGTCGACATGTAAATAGAAGAAATATATCAATGAGATGTGTGTAATGTCGACATGTAAATAGAAGAAATATATCAATGAGATGTGTGTAATGTCGACATGTAAATAGAAGAAATATATCAATGAGATGTGTGTAATGTCGACATGTAAATAGAAGAAATATATCAATGAGATGTGTGTAATGTCGACATGTAAATAGAAGAAATATATCAATGAGATGTGTGTAATGTCGACATGTAAATAGAAGAAATATATCAATGAGATGTGTGTAATGTCGACATGTAAATAGAAGAAATATATCAATGAGATGTGTGTAATGTCGAAATCTAAATAGAAGAAATGTATCAATGCGTTGTGTCTAATGTCGAAATGTAAATAGAAGAAATATATCAATGCGATGTGTCTAATGTCGAAATGTAAATAGAAGAAATGTATCAATGAGATTGATGAAATAAATGAAATAGAGTAAATGTCTACAGGTTATAGAAAACAATATATGAATGAGATGTGGGATCTTAAGTTATTTGATTTGCCTTAAATATTTAAAAACGGCTCGTCTTATATTATAAATATGTATGCATTGCGTTCATTGATGGGATAAAATGTTGAAGAGCTCAAACTTTGGAATATATAAAATGATTTTAAGTAGTTAATTCAGTTGTTTCAAGTATAATTCAATAGAAATGTCTTTAGCCTAGATTTGTTGGTTCTGATAGAAATTTAATGATCTTATGTTTCTAAGTGGATATCGTTATCAGATCATTCGTATTAAATAAGTCACGAGACCTCTTATGGTAATATAGTTTACAGGCACGATCGACTTTGCAAAGTACAAATCAACTGCATATACAGCAATATTTAGCTTCAGATTCAACACGGATAATGTCAGTTTGAGCTTCAAATGTAATAAAACAATTATAGCTTTAGCCATATACAATGTCGATAATATTTTAGCTTAATCTGCACCGTCGATATCACTAGCTTAATCTAAAATGTGGATACAAATCTCTCTACAGTGTTTCACACAGAATGACCAAAATGTAAGATGCTATACCTACAATATTAGCTTCACCTTCATATATGTTTTCATATAATCAACTTTAGTTCTTGAAGGTCATGGTTCGCCATTTTCGGCGATTGATATGATAAATGTTAATAGTCAGAATTACATGAACTGCACGAAAAATACCTGAAATTTGATTTTTCATTTTCTATTTCTATATTATGACTTTTCTATGTATGTCTCAAGAAAAGACGAGTCGTCATTTGAACTTTCAATTGCGGATAACTTTAGATACACATGGATTTGAAGGCTCAAATTTCTATGGTGAACTGAGCTGTGCACACTATAACTGATAGCTTAGTTTCAAAAATACCCTTCTAAGGTAAGTTTGGTGAAACTGATATTGAACGGATGGTGAAACGTTAGGAGAGGAAGCAACGGTATTGTTGTGGTTGTTGCGGAAATGAAAGATACTAATAAATATAATTATCACAGATTATTAACAATTAAATATACGAAGAATTGGTAAATATTCTAGACATGTAAAATAACTACAGAGTGAACAAAGTGATTATATTGTGTGTATATGTAAAGTACCAAGTTTTAAAGTGTGTTTTATTTATCATCTAAAGTACATCTGTTCTGTACCTGGATACTTTCGGTCGGGTATTAAACAGATATTTAGACTAGTTCTAGTACCACACACAAGAACATTGTGCCTTCTTATATAAACTTCTTATAACAGGATGTTTGGCCCACTTTTAATTAATTAAGGATATTTTTTTCATTTTCAAAAACCCGAACCTGTTAATGAAGAAAACCGCAGAACGGTAGTACAAAATATTTAGCAGCCAGCCTTATTAAAATTAGACCGAGCTTGCTTTTTTTATTAGTATAGCCACTTCAGAGTAGGGTTTAACAATCAAATTTACGCGTTCACCAGCGTGGGCGTTTAGTGACGTTTGGTTAAAGTAGATGTCATCCGATTAGGTCAAAGGGTTATTTTGACGTATATTCAAGAATCCGGCCGTAAGAACTTACTCTGAAGTGGCTATACTAGAAATATAACTAATAAAACGAAAACGAAAGTTTGGTCTAATTTTAGTTAAATTGG